TTACTATTACGTGTTATTATTGGAAGCAAAAATATTTTAAATTATATTTTCATTCTGAAAATTGAGACTGAAATCCTGACCACTACCTAACCTAACGCCACCGCGCACTTGACAGCAGACGGGCGGATCTAGAAGCCATGCGGCAGAGAATCCACCAGCGCTGTCCTCGCCTCTCGTGCCCTGCGCTTGGCTTGTCCGGAATAGGGTATTCCGCTGCAAGCCAACCGGAACCTAAAGAAGAAAAGCATGACTGCTCGATCTGTTTCCCTCTGCGCGCTCAGTGGCTGACCGCCACAGCCACGCCACCTTTGGCCAATCAGCGTTCAGGGGGAAACAGATCGGGTAGTCACGCTTTACCTCTTTAGGTTCCGATTGTCTTGTAGCGGAATACCCTATATCCTATTATGTGAACACTGAAGATTCCAGTATGACATCTTAAGGCCAAACCACGTATCGCGTATCAGGCTTCGCGATATCTCACGAAACACTGGTTACGCTGCCACGCGCCTGGCGCACATATATCTAGGCCTGCGGGATACCACTTAAAACGAGTGTATACGAACGTGGGGCCTACTGACTGGCTCCAAAATTTGACATGATCACAACAATTTTGACAGATTATGTTAAGTCGACGTTTTAGTGATAGTAGATAATCTAGGGACTCCTGAGTCTTTTAGCCCCAGAAAAGGGTGTGGTTCGACACCAAATGTGCGGTTTGAGTATTACTTCCTTTCCATTTTTTTTTCAATATGAAGCTTTTACTATTTAACAGACCATTAGTCCATTTTCACTCTTTAATTCGTCAAGAAATGCCCCCTAGCACCCAAACGGTACAAGAGAGAGCAAGACGGACGAAATCTTTGTCGAGAGGGTTCTACTTTGACGAGTTGCCCCTTACTGTTAGGAACATAGGAAAATTTGTTGTCAAAAGACGTCTATTTTAGGGCCTGTTGTTTTCGATTATTGTAAAAATCAAAATTTTGAGCTAGAATGTCCATCTTGGACTCGATCTGTCTTTTAAGGTTACAAAACGACCCTGAAATCCTCAGATCGCTAAACTCAATACGTTCTCGAGTTATCGTGCGGACACACTGACAAACAAACAAACAGACTAGGGTATTTCAATGGAGCGCTGCCCGGAACTATGAAGAACAAAACCGGATACAGAGAGCGGTGGTGGGGGCGGGCGCGCGGAGGAGTGGCAGGTGGAGAGGAGCCTCCCCGCCCGCCCTCCGCTCCTCCGCGCGCCCGCCCCCACCACCGCTCTCTGTATCCGGTTTTGTTCTTCTTAGTTCCGGGCAGCGCTCCATTGAAATACCCTATAAAGCTTTTTCGGTCAGTGGAGTAATGGGCTTCGCTAAGCGCTCAAGCTGTCTTTTTATGGTACAAAACGACCCTGAAATTCCCAGATCGCTCTCCTCATAGGGTATTCTAGGCTATCCAGAACGGAAGTAGGAAAAGAACATACTCACAAGCAGGCCCGCCCTTACGCCAAACGAAGTTGCCAGCTCTGCTTCGCCGGCAACTCCGTTCGGCAGGGGCCGGGCCTACTTGGCCTGCCGGCGGCGATGGTGGGGCCAGCGGCCCGACCATTTCCGTCACGCGATTTGCTGAAGAACATGATCGAATGATGTAGCGGGCCTTCGGGCCGCTTGAACTCGTTATCTTTGAGTTTGCCCCAAAGACTTGAGAAAGGGATGTAACGGTGAGGCACCGCGACTACAACCCACCCTTCTGCTTAGAAAACGTTTTTTGAGGGGGTGGGGGAAAGTTTCCTTTCTATTTTGCGGTTCTTAGGGCCTTTTCTACATCTTATTGTTCACTATGGCAATTTTTAGCTTATTTTCGTCTAAAAGACCCTTTAGCGGGTAAACAGTTAGAGATAGAGCAAAACGGACGAAATTTTCGAACACAGGGCTCTACTTTGACGAGTTACCCCATAGAGAGACCATCTAATATTTTCGAAAATTAATAAATTTATTTTTGGGCCACTTTTGTGAGAGAAACTCCCTCTAGCGCCCAAACGGTGAGAGATAAAGCAAAACGGACGAAATTTTCGTCGAAGGAGCTCTACTTTCTCAATAGGGGATCATAAAACAAAATATTTTTTGCAACTTTTTTGGCCTCTCCTGTTTTCTTCGATACCCCCTTTCAGCCTCTTAGGGGTGGCTGGCAGGATTTGCCGTAGGCGTTTTGTTTTGAGGGAGTGAACCTTGAGATCCCCTGAAAATTTGAAGCACATCTCCTTCTTGTGGAACAGACACAGACAGACACGAGGTCGTTTGCATAAGCCCGCTGGATAGCTTTTTCAAAGCAGAAGGGCGGGCTAAAAACCGTCAGGTCAGTTTCGAGCTCGCCTTCGTAATAGGGTGTTCCAGGCTATCTAAAACGGAAGTGAAAAAGAACAAACTCACTGACTTTTCTATTTCCGTAATGGCTCTGATTGGTCGTCCTGATCACGTGCCACTTCGGCCTTTCTAGTATGGAAAACTGCCAGATCAGTTTCGAGCTCCCCTCCATATTTGAGAGGTTAGAATCGGATCAAACTACCGTAGTAATTTCTCATACTGAACATGCGGAAAAAGATAAGTCAGTGAGTTTGTTCTTTTTCACTTCCGTTTTAGATAGCCTGGAACACCCTATTGAAAGGTTCGAATCGGACCAAATTACCATGGTAATTTCTCATACTGAGCGGACGGAAACAGATTAATGGGTGAGTTAGTTCTTTTACACTTCCGTTCTAGATAGCCTGGAACACCATATTCTTTCTCGAATTATCGTGCGGACAGACAGAGAAACAAACAAACAGACAAACAGAATGAAGCTTTCCTGGTCAGTGGAGATATGGGCTTCGCTAATCGCTCAGCCAAAAAAATCCACAAGGCACAAAATGTTTTTTAGCCCGCCCTTCTGCTTTGAAAAAGCTATCCAGCGGGCTGATGCAAACGACCTCGTGTCTGTCTGTCTGTTCCACAAGAAGGAGATGTGCTAGATACTTCAAATTTTCAGGGGATCTCAAGGTTCACTCCCTCAAAACAAAACGCCTACGGCAAATCCTGTCAGCCACCCCTAAGGGGCTGAAAGGGGGTATCGAGGAAAACAGGAAAGGCCAAAAAAGTTGGCATTTTTTTTTTTATGATCTCATAATTGGTAACTTCTGAATAGAGTCCCCTGGACGAAAATTTCGTCCGTTTTGCTTTATCTCTCACCGCTAGGGCGCTAGAGTAAGTTTCTCTCACAAAAGTGGCCCAAAAATAAATTTATTAATTTTCGAAAATATTGGATGGTCTCCTAGGGGGTAACTCGTCAAAGTAGAGCTCTTAGGCGGAAATTTCGTCCGTTTCGCGCTATCTCTAACCGTTTACGCTAGAGGGTCTTTTAAGACGAAAATAAGCTAAAAATTGCCATAGTGAACAATAAGATGTAGAAAAGGCCATAAAAACCGCAAAATAGAAAGAAAACTTACCCCCACCCCCACAAAACGTTTTCTAAGCAGAAGGGTGGGTTGTAGTCGCGGTGCTTCACCGTTACATCCCTTTTTCAAGTCATTGGGACAAACTCAAAGATGACGAGTTCAAGCGGGCCGAAGGCTCGCTACATCATTCGATCATGTTCTTCAGCAAATCGCGTGACGGAAATGGTCGGGCCACTGGCCCGACCATCGCCGCCGGCAGGCCAAGCAGGCCCGGCCCCTGCCGAACGGAGTTGCCGGCGGAGCGAAGCGGAGCTGGCAACTTCGTTTGGCGTAAGGGCGGGCCTGCTTGTTATTTTTCAAATACCTTTGAATGGGCTCCCAAGGGGTAACTCGTCAAACTAGAATCCAGTAGCCGATAATTTCGTCTGTTTTGCTCTATCTTGAACCGTTCTGGTGCTAGGGAGCATTTCTTGGCGGAAACAAGGTGAAAATGGCAAATGGTCTATGAAATCGCAAAAAGCAAAGAATGGTGATGGGAGTTATTCTGGAACCACACATTAGGGGTCGAACCGCACCCTTCTTTAGGATCAAGGGACCCTCGATTATCTACTCTCACTAAAATGTTGATTCTTATCTAACTGTCAAATTAGTATAATTAATGAATATCAGTAAAAGAAGTTGCATACCCCTAATTTTGGAGTAAAAAGTCCACGATATATGCTGCAAACAAGTTAAATTTAGGGGCCGGAAGGCCCTATTTCCGTATTCACTCCAAATAAGTCATCTCGGGTGTCAGCACTGCAGGCTCAGTTATATGTGTGCTAGGCGCGTCGCAGTGTAACAGTGTTTTGTGCGATATCGCGAAGCCTGTTACGCGAGACGTGGTGTGGCGTACTTATTGGTAGTACTAGTGGTCGGAAAGTACAAGTCTAAATGTGTAAAAGGAACAGAAAGATAGTCTTTTGTATTGTCTTCATTAAAGCGTTCCGGTAAAGCCAATATGCAGAAGAATGCGAGGAAGAAAATGGAAATCACCATGCTTTTACATGGGACTTCCGTATTCTACTTCTGCATTTCAGCTTTACGGGAATGCTTTCCTGTAGAACAGTACCACTGTTTGGTTTGCAGAGCAACAAATCACGGTTTGATGCAAGCTAGTTACCGAAGGTGTTTCATATTAGTTTCAACATTGCCATTTTGTTGTGCATATAGCAGCCCGTTGTGTCACACTACGATAGTAGAATACATTAATAGACCATTCCGGTAAAGCGAAAAAAAGAAGAACAGACGAAAGAAGCAAAGGCGAGTATGAGAAATATACAGTGGTGCGTCGGTTGCACGGTCGTGTTAAACGGTTAAAAGTGACTTGTCTGATGTCTAAATTCGTCTGAGAGTTAATGACAATAGTTCTCACTCTCAGGCGACGCAGAATGTCTAGTTTCCGATGGATTACGTTCAAGCGTTCCCAAGTCGCACCGTACATTTCTCATAGAACGCTTTGCTTCTTTCGTCTCTTCTTCTTCCTTTTCGGTTTACCGGAATGGTCTATTGTCCGACATTAATAGCACACTTTGATGTCGCCAACCTGGTCCGCATCGTCAGACGATACGAGGCGTTTCGTCGCAGGCGTCTTGGGTGGCGATCTAGCGAGGGCCGCCTGCAGTCCCAGCAGCAGGCTGTCCGTTCCCACGGCCGCACCGAGAACACCCTGCATGCCGTGCAGGCACAGCAGGCACAGCAGGAGGGCGAGCAGGTCGCGCATGGTGTGCAGACTGTGTGCAGACTGTGTGCAGACTACCCCAAAGCAGCGTACACTGTGGCCTTTATGGATTGCGCCTTACAACTGTCTTGTTACGCTCAGCGTCGCGCTGCCCCAGGTGGCCACCTCTGCCTCGAGAGGATTTCACAAAACCCTATCTCAAGAGGTGTGAGTAACGTAGAGGGCGTGCTCTCACGTGTTACAGACGAGGGGCCCATTCATCATCGCCGTCAAACCTTAGCCAAAGATGTTTGCGTATCCGTGTGTTTTCGTCATATCAGACCAAATAGGGTAATGGTCTAGAGCACCAAGCGGAAGGTGGAAAGGCGCACGGGCCGTCCCCCTCTCCTCCACCGGGCGGGAGTTGGGGAGCGCCCGGGAGAAGTGGAGGGCAGGCGGGGAGGAGTGCGGGCGCCTTTCCATCATCCGTTTTTAGCCCGCTCTTTTGCTGAAGAGTTATTGGCTGAGCGATTAGCGACGCCTATTACTCCGTCTGGTCGGAAAAAGCTTTTTATGTCTGTCTATCTGTCTGTCTGTGCGTCTGTCTGTCTGTGTATCTGTCCGCACGAAAACTCGAAAACGTATTGAGCGAGCGACCTGGGATTTTCACGGTCGTTTCGTATCATAAAAAGACAGATCGAGTTCGAAGATGAGCATTCTAGCTCAAAAATTGGATTTAAAAAAAATCGAACACAACAGGTCCCAAAAATGACGTTTTTGAAAAATATTTTCTTATGGTGTCCAAAGAGGTAACTCATCAAAGTAGAGCCCTACGGGCGAAGATTTTGTCCGTTTTGCTCTAGCTCAAACCGTTGAGGCGCTAGAGGGTGTTTTTTACGAAAATAAGCAAAACAATGTACAACCCTGCATGATTAGACGAAGTGACGGGCGTTAACGGGCCGGAGGCCCGTATCTTTGTGCACATTTTTGCACTACCTGACTCAGGTGTCAGCGCCGCAGGCCAAGGTAGATGTATGCCAGGCGCGTCGCAGCGTAACTGTGTTTCGTGAGGTATCGCGAAGCCTGTTACGCGAGACGTGGTCTGGCGTACATCTACCTTGTATAAGCGGGCTTATGCCATCGCCCCTGTGTCTGTCTGTCTTCTGTCTGTCCGTTTCCCAAGAAGAACGTGAGCTAGACATTTGAAATTTCCAGGGTATTATTGTTGTCACTTCTGGACAACGAAACGGTTGGTGCAAATCCTGGCAACCACCTCTGAGTGAGTCTGAGGGGGTAACAAAGAAATAGGGGTTGGTCTAAGAAGTGGGAAAAAAATATTATTTCTATGGTTTTCTATGGGGTAACTCGTGAAAGTACAGTAACCCCTCGGTATAAGCGCGCTCGTTATAAGCTTTTATTAGGTACGGTCCCTGCTTACGCGCGGGGGTCGAGCTCTTTGTGCTCCGGGGAGTGACGAGGGGACGACAGGGTCCAGGGCAGAAGCCCGCTCTTTGGGTCTCCCCCGGCCTCAGGTGCTCCGCTGTGCCGGCCGGCCGGCCAGCCCGCCGCCAGGGCTGGGCCCCCGCATGGCAGCGCCACTAGGGGAATTTCTGGAAATCTAGAATTTTCCCGAGGGGAAGGGTGAAGGGCAACAGCGGGGGGAGAGTGTGGAGGGGCATTACAGATCCTGGCCTCAACTTGCAGGCAAGGTGGCTTTTCGGCAGTCAGTTTCATTCTTTGCCTAACTACATCCTGTCATATCCCAAATTTTGAACGGAGCGACCCACAGACATCATTCAATATTTGATAGAATCGTCTCGTCATTTTATGGAGAAAGGGCATATTCCGAACGGTGCTAAGCGAGCGGATCGAGCGGAAAACCAAAAACTAGCTAGTGAATAGAAGCGACAAACAATAGCCGCTGGCCGGGGGCCTGCAACGTGCCGGCGGCAGCGAGTTTCGGGAGTAACAACGATCGCACGAGTAAATGATTGGCAGGTTTATGGCTCGTGATCGTCGCCAACTCGACCCTTGCAACAGCTGCAAAACAGTTCGAGATCCTCGTTATAAGCGAATTTTGAGTCGATGTCTGCGAGCTTATACCATGGGGTTACTGTAGAGCTCTTTGGGCTAAAATTTCGTCCGTTTGGCTCACTCTCTCACCGTTTAGGCGTTTAGGTGCTAGATGGAGTTTTACTCACAAAAGTGGCCCGAAAATAAACAAGGTAGATGCACGCCAGACCACGTCTCGCGTAACAGGCTTCGCGATATCTCACGAAACACTGTTGCGCTGCGACGCGCCTGGCAAACATCTACCTTGGCCTGCGGCGCTGAAACCCGAGTAGGGTTGTACAAAATGTACACAAAGGCACGGGCCTCCGGCCCGTCAGCGGCCCGTCACTTCGGCTAAGCATGCAGAGTTGTAATTTTTAGCCCGCTCTTTTGCTTAAGAGCTATAGAAGCGGGCTTATGCCATCGCCCTTGTGTCTGTCTGTCCGTCCGTCTGTCCGTTCCCCAAAAAGGAAGTGAGCTAGAGGTCTGAAATTTTCAGGGTATTATTGTTGTCACTTCTGGACAACGAAACGATTGGTGCAAATCCAAAGAAGAACCCTTTGGGCTAGAATGTCGTCCGTTTGGCTTTCACTGTTTACTTACGAAAGGGAATTTTTCTTACCGAAATGGCCAAAACAGAACCTTTTTAATTTTTTCAGGAGTACACCATTGTCCGAGAAGTATACCGTCGGTTCAAAATTTGCTTCTAAGCAGAAGAGTGGGCTTATTTTATGGTGGCACATCGTTAATGAAATGGGTACACTCCCATCCTAAGAAGAGAAATAGAAAAAAATAAATATTTGGTTGTTTCGTTGTACTTCACAAGCTGCTTCCGTTCTATCAGTAATTAGTGCGAAATCATTGCGGACACGTTCGGAGTTATTGCAGAGTATGCCTGGAAGTATATTTAACTTCTTCCGGTTCTAGTCCTAAATATCTTCTCATAGGTGTGTTATTGGATCCATAAGCTAACATCAAAAACTTAGAAGGGATTTGGCATAACTTGCATGTATTCTACAAACTGCGGCAAACACAGCCAAAGATGTTGAGCGCATGAAAAGAATGCTTCGTTTGTTGAGTTTTGATTACGAAGTAGACAGCAAGGGTACCTGGCAAAAAGATGGTTCAGAGCGGGCTGTCACTCAAACGGGCCGAAGGCCCGTTTTCCGATAGAAGCTTTACTACACCATGAAAAATCAGAAGGGACGGGCCTGCGGCCCGTCCCAAACGCCGCCGGCAGGCCAAGCTAGGCCCGCTCCCTGCCGAACTGAGTTGCCGGTGGAGCGAAACGGAGCTAGCAACTTGGTTTAGCGGAAGAGCGGGCCTAGCTTGTTTTGCTTATTTTCGTCAAAAATACCCTCTAGCGCCTCAACAGGTTGAGCTAGGACAAAACGGACAAAATTTTCGCCCACAGGGCTCTACTTTGATGAGGTACCCCCTAGGAAAGCAAAAGCATATATTTTAGACAGTCCCTTGTGGTCTGTCTCTACCCGAAGTTAAAAGTTTGCCGTTTTGATAAATATTTCCGGTTCTCGTTATCCAGTTTTGTTAGAGATAGCCGATTGACGGTCCAGTTCCAGTTTTTTTTAAAAATGTCGGTTTTTGGGATTTGATTTTTTGTTCTATTTTAAATCCAATTATGAAGTAAGAATGCTTATCTTCTAACTCGATCTTTTTTTCATAACACAAAACGACCCTGTAAATCCCAAGTCGCTCGCTCAATAGGGTGTTCCAGGCTATTTTAATGGAAGTGGAAAATAACAAACTCACTGATTTATCTGTTTCCGTCCGCCTAGAATGAGAAACTATCATGGTAGTTTGGTCCGATCGTAACCTCTGAAATATGGAGAGGATCGCGAAACCGATTTGACAGTTTCTCATACCTGAAAGGCCGCGGAGGCACGTGATTAGCTCGACCAATCAGAGCCACTACAGAAACAGAAAGGTCAGTGAGTTTGTTCTTTTCCCACTTCGGTTTTAGATTGCCTGGAACACCCTTTTCGTTCTCGAGTTATCGTGCGGACAGACGGACAGCCAAGAAGACAGTTTTAGGGCGGGAGAAAATACAGTAAAGTTTTACAAAACGATGGTAAATCTTTTAATTTAGCTTTTTCTGTTCATTTAATTGAGATGGGATCACACACTGCAATGCACAGTTTTTTAAGAAAACCTAGAATACCTAGTAGTAAAAAAATGGATTATTCAGGTATACTTTTCATGTACGTGATTTCCGTGTGGTCGGCGCACCACCAGATACCGCCAGTCGCCCGCTGAGCCCTTCTCATCGTCGATGGCTTTACCACTACCATACGTTGCACGTGCTTTGTCCTTGTAAAAATGTTGCCGGGCACTTGCCCTGCTGCAGCATTCCAGGTTTTTTTTTAGGCCTTTTCTTAATACCAAACAGGTAGTTGTCTATACCTACCGATCGCACATATTTCATCCGGTTGTTCTGCGACTTGCGGCGCTCAGAGGGGTGTAGCTTGCCCGGCCGATTGACTCCCATCTGTAAAAGGCAAACGAGATTAAAATCCTAATCTTGCCACAGTTCATCGAAAATTATGACATCGAAACAAAGGGTCCTCTGTCGCTTCTGACGTAATCCCTTTTCGGTCTTCCAGCCATTGACCCACCCAGCAACGAGGTCATTGATACCTGCAAAGGAAAACATTCAAACCATTGTATATAGGTAGGACTCCAGCCCGCTAACTGATTTTTGAACAGACTCTTTGCAGATTGCCTTTGGTCTCCGTTCACAGACTCCTCTGTGGTAGGAGCAGGTTACGGTCAAGGCGTTTCTTTCAATGAATCCTGCACGACACCTGCAAAGAATTACACCATACAGAACAGACAAACAAACAAACAAACAGAATGAAACTTTTCCGGTCAGTGGAGTAATGACTGGGCTTCGCTAGTAGGGTATCCCTCTAGGGCGCGGAGCGGACCTATGAAGAACAAAAGTGGATACAGGGAGTGGTGGTGGGGGCGGGCGGGATACCCTATCGCTCAGCCAAAAACACATCAATGAGTTTTACATGGAACTCAAAGATGGACCCGAGGGGACACACCTCTGGTTGCGGTGCATACT